AAAAGACAAAGGTTAGTCAGTCAGAAAGCAAAGAGATGAAGTAGTATGAATACATAAGTAAACTAAATGTGCGCGCTTACAAATAGAACAAATGTATCCAAACCAATCAATAAAGTTATTGGAAACTAAAATGTATTACTATATTCAAAATGAAGAATGAAAATACAAAAGTTACCGACTTTAGAGTATGGCCATGGGTTTGGCCATCACACACCCCCCCACTTCTGGATCTTCCATCAGGCAGCGAGAGAGGTAATCAGCAATGGTGTTGTCTTTACCAGGGATATAGTGAATCTTAAACCGGTATGGCTGCATAGCCAGATACCACCTGGTGATTCTCCCATTAGTGTCTTTCATTCTCTCCAGCCACTGCAGGGCTTTGTGGTCAGTTTGAAGGATGAATTCTCTTCCCAGCAAATACTTGAAAGAGTCAAGTGCCCATTTAATGGCCAAGGCTTCCTTCTCAACCGTTGCGTAGCGGCTCTCCCTTGGTAGCAGCTTACGGCTGATGTAGGCGACAGGATGTCGATCCTCTAATGGTCCCTGCAGAAGCACTGCTCCCAAACCCTTTTCAGAAGCATCAGTCTGCAATGTAAAGTCTTTTGTGAAATCTGATGAGTGCAGAACGGGGTCCTTACTCAGGGACTGGCGAAGGTCTTTGAAAGCTGCAACAGCTTCAGCTGTCCACCGAATCTTATTGGGACATTTTGAGCCAATCCTGTCCGTCAGTGGGGCTGCTCTAGCTGAGAAGTTGGGAATGAATCTGTTGTAGAACGCAGCCATGCCGAGGAAGGATCGCAGCTGTTTCCTGGTTTGTGGAAGAGGACATGATGCAATTGCATTAATTTTGTCAACCTGTGGTTTAATTGTCCCACCTCCAACAGTAAACCCGAGGTACTGGACTTCAGTCCTAGCAAGAGCACACTTTGCTGGATTGATGGTAAGGCCTGCGGAACACAGCCGATCCTTAGGTGATCCACATGCTCTTCCCAAGTTCCACTGAAAACAACAACATCATCAAGGTACGCACAGGTGAATGCTGAGAGCCCACAGAGTACCTTATCCATTAGCCTTTGAAATGTTGCTGGGGCCCCATGCAGACCAAATGGTAAGACTGTGAACTCGAACAATCCCACGGAGTATGGAATGCTGTCAACTCTTGAGACTGCTTAGTGAGAGGTACTTGCCAGTATCCCTTGGAGAGATCAATGGCCGTTAGATATTTTGCCTTCCCCAAACGCTCAATGAGATCGTCAATGCGTGGCATCGGGTAAGAGTCAAATTTTGATATGGAATTGAGGTACCTGAAGTCGATGCAAAAACGTATCGTGCTATCCTTTTTCGGAGCCAACACAACAGGGTTGCACCACTCACTTGTTGAAGGTTGGATGATTCCAAGAGACAGCATGAGGTCCACCTCCTCCTTTAACTCCACCAGGAAGCGTTCCGGTATCCTGTAACTCATACGCTTCACAGCTGCATCAGGTTTTAAAACAATGTCATGCTCCACCAGACTCGTGCGACCTGGGTACTTTTGAAATATGTCTGAATTAATCAGAGGCGTTACCTGAGACTGTTGCTCACTGGTGAGATGGCTCAGGTCCAGGACAGAGACTGTTACTGAAGGCAAGTAGTCATTAACTTCTTCCTCCTCATCCACGCTGTGAATAAGCAAACCCTCTGTTTTATTCTCAGTGCGTGGAATCCATTCCTTAAGAAGGTTAACATGGAGCACTCTACTCCCTCGCTGGAGACCTGGTGTAGAAACTTTATAGGTAGGTCCAAGTTTCTTCTGTACTTCAAAGGGTCCCTGCCACTTTGCCAGCAACTTGCTGTCAGAAGTTGGCAACATTACCAAAACCTTCTGGCCAGGGACAAAACTCCTGTGGCGAGCTTTTTTATCAAACAAAGTCTTTTGTTGCCTCTGAGCAGCTGCCATATGACTGAGCCAGTTCACTCATCTGCTGAAGCTTTTCTCTCATATGAATGACATAGGAAATAACATTGACCGATTCCTCTTTACCTTGCTTTCCCTCCCATGAGTCCTTTAGCAGGGTCAATGGGCCTCTCACCTCATGGCCATAAAGAAGCTCAAACGGGAGAAGCCAGTGGAGGCTTGAGGAACTTCCCTGTAGGCAAAAAGGAGGTATGGCAGCCACTGGTCCCAATCAGACCCTGTATCATTGACAAACTTTCGGAGCATTTGTTTGAGAGTTTGGTTGAAGCGCTCTGTCAGTCCATCTGTCTGTGGGTGATAAGGGGTTGTCCGCACACTCCTGATGCCTAACAGCTTATAGACCTCTTTCAACAGTGTGGACATAAAATTAGTGCCCTGGTCAGTTAAAATCTCCTGTGGGAATCCAACCCTTGAGAACAGTTGAATCAATGAGGAAGCTACAGTTTTTGCTTTAACAGTTTTTAATGGAAAGACTTCAGGATACCTCGTAGCATAGTAGCATAGTCTGTAATGACTAGCATAAAGCGATTTCCAGATTTGCTTTTTTCTACAGGACCAACTACGTCCATGCCAAGACGCTGAAATGGTATACCAATGATTGGGAGAGGTTGGAGTGGTGCTTTGGTGGGGACTCTAATTGAAGTCTTCTGACATTGAGGACAACTCCTGCAAAACATAGCAACATCTGAGCGTAAACCAGGCCAGAAAAAGTATCGCTTGATGCGAGCGGTGGTCTTATGCTTCCCTAGGTGGCCAGCCCAGGGAATGGAGTGTCCCAAAGTAAGCACTGTTTCACGGGCTACTTTAGGGACCACTAACTGTTTAACCTGGCCGTGCTGGTGGTATAAAATGCCATCTTGCAGAATGTACAGCTCTTTATTTGTGTCAGATTCAACAGAGTCCTTTTCCTTAGCCCTCAGCAACATGGCAGACAAAGTTGGATCAGCCTGCTGCATTTGTCTGATGTTCGTAGGTACTGAAAAACCTAAAGGCATATCTGGAGCAGCCTGAACTGATGTCTTTCCAACAGTGTGTTGAAATTTTTCACGTCTTCTTTGACTGCGTGGCTTCCGAGACTTCCCGGGATCTGTCTCTAGTTCAGCCTCAAAGAAGGGTAAAGCACTGAGGGTTGCATGATGCTCATCCTGATTTTTAGTTTGAGCCCTTGTTATAGCAACATTGCACTCTTGCACTTCTCTCAACAAATCATAGATGACTGGCAGATCCTCCCCAAGAACTACAGGATAGGGCAGATTATCAGCTACACCAACCTTTAACAGATAGGGTGTCCCCTGCACTTCAATAAACAGATCAGCAGTAGGGTATGGTCTTTCATCACCATGTATACAGCAAACTGATATGGTTTCAGAGGGGCATGTGTAGTCTTTTGACACATATTTCCTGTGTACCAGAGTCTGTGTGCTGCCAGTGTCTATTAAAGCATTAATTTCTTGTCCATTAATCTTAACTGTGGTGATTTTATTTGACTGCTTTCTCTCAGATTTAATATCCACATTCGGTGAGGCACAAAACACATCTGAGATAATTTGCTTTGATTATTAGGACACATGGGCTTAGTGTGACCTTCCTGTCCACAAAGGTAGCACACTGGTGGCCTTTTACCTGGCTTCGAGGTATTCAAAGGCTGCGTTTCCCTTGTAAAGGGCTTACCCACACCCGTCGCTGACCTCTGAGGATGCTGAGGGGGTTGCGACCGACGTGAATCTCTGGCAGCCTTCCATGACTGTTGCTCCATGGCTGACTCTTACTTCGGGCAGCTACAAACACATCAGCCAGGGTGGCGGCCTCTGCAGCAGACTTTGGATTATGCTCCTTAATCCAGACCTGAAGCTCAGGACACAGCATTCTTAAAAACTGCTCCAAGATGATAATTTCACCAACTTCTTTTACAGTTCTGTTTTTCGGCTGAATCCATTTTTCATAAAGTTCTTTCAGTCTCACATACAGTTCCTTGGGACTCTCATCAAAAACTTCAAGACAGCGAAATCTTTGCCTATATGTTTCTGGGTTTATATCGTATTTTTGCAAAATGGCAGCTTTTACCTTCTCATATTGCAGTGATCGTCCACATCCATATTAACATAGGCACTTCGAGCCTTACCAGTAAGAAGAGGATGAGGTGAAAATCCAGTCTGACTCTGGCCAACGACAAGCAGGAAATTGGGCTGTAACTTCACATATTGTGAAAGTTTCTTTTCCTTGTTTTTCTAGATGTTTCCCTTGAGGAGTCTCATTCATGGCTTTTAACCAGGAGCTCAGTGCAACATTTACTTTCACCTCATGTCAACATGTGATGGAGTGCCATACAAATCTTTCTGATGAGGTCTTTCAGGTCCTGGACATGATACAGTTTATCTGTTGAAGATGAAGTTTTTGAGGCCTGTCAATTCTTTCTCTTCTCTTTTTCTCCAGTTTCCTTCAAATATTTTAAGAACACAATGTCTATCTTTTTAAAAAAATATAGATTGAATAAAAGAAATCCTAACACATAACTGCAACAGGCTGTTAGTAACAAAATGCCTGAAGATGCTATTTCAAATCGGTTGTTTGTTTATTTCTCTTTCATGTGTAGACACATCATCGTGCCCAGGTCATTTATTTCTGAGTTGCGCATGCGTTGAGCCTGTGAGCGCTATCTACTGACGTAATAATGAGTACAGAACTTAGATAATTCACACAAAAACAAACAAACAAAAAAACTTAGATAATTCACAGCTGTAAACAAAAGAATCGCACGCGCACAAAAACGTGAAACACAATTTTTGCTCGTGCTCCATAAAACTGAACGTGCAGCATCTTCCAGCTTACACTTACACAGGACGTTAGTCCTGCCAGCTTCAAATTAAAAGGCGACATGAGTCATTTTAGGCCTAGAAACAGCGGCAGTGCGTTTAAATATCTATCGCACCGTTATTTTTTCCATTAAATGACTACAAAGATATACAAAAAGGTTGAATCCAAAAGTAACGATCCACAATATAAAATTCAATGCTTTTATTTTTAACATCTATGTCGGAAGCTGTGGTTCCGACCCCCTTCACGTTGCTCTGCTAGCGCAGAGCCATTTATACTAAGCTAACGGTTTAGCACTGCTGACCTCCGTCTTTGCGGGGTTTATTTCCCGGGTTAGTTGTTGTACGACAGTTAGCTTCAAGATGGCTTTGTTGACGCCATTATTCGCTTTTCTGTACCATCTACCGCAGGTGTACAAGTGGCTGTTGAAGCCATATTACGTAGCATCTCTCTTCATGTCTGTAGCATTTCTAGCTGTCCGCAAGACGCCCGGCATCTGTGACCGTCTGGCCACACAGCGAGAAGACGGCAACTCCTGCGACTTCGACTGGGTCCGTAGAAAAAGCCAGAAAGTCTGGTCGTTTTCCCGAATGTGTTAGCAGCTAGCCGGTCAGTGAATGCTGGACCAATGCACAGGCTGTGGTAACGAGGGCCAGATGACTTTAGCTGTCAGGCCAAACAGCGGCCAAAAAGCAACTCATTGATGTTCCTGGACTTGTTGACTAAGATACACAAGTGAAAACGATTCATTTGTAGTTTTCCGCTGTTGATTAATGTGTTTTATTGCTTACGGCATATCAATGAAGGTCTGTTAAAATACAAGAATGAACATGGGGTGTCAGTGTTACTGTGTTGGTCCTGAAGGTTGCAGGAGGGGAGGCAAAATCGGGGTATCACAGAATGAGGGTTGTTGTTGTAATAATAATAAAAGCCAAATGGAACCGAATTTAATGTCCCGTTAGAGCTCTTACAGTTTATATACACTCATGAATGTTGTGGTGAAGTTGGGCTTTTAATGGTTCTTTAAGCTGTTCTTTGGTGTACTGCATAGATCTCTAGTGACTTTAAAAAAAAAAAAGAATATATGTGTCTTACAAAGTTGCACCCCAACCAGACACTTGGTTAATGAGCTTCTGGCATAATCTAGTCTGGATATTTGACCACTTTTCTTTACGAAACTGGAAGAGTTCATTTAAATTGGTTTGTTTCTTAGCCCAGGCATAGTCCACAAATTGGGGTCAGAGGTCAAACTTAACATTAGTCTGCAGAACCAGTTGTGATGTTCCTGGGTTCCTCATCCTGGTAGAACATCATATTGCTTCTAAGTTTCAACCATCTAGCCACTGATCTGAGGTGAAGTTGAAGAATTTGCATGTAGTCCTTCTCCTCTGTCTTCATTATTCCATCCACATTGTGCAGGGTACCAGTACCACTGGCAGCAACAGCCCTAGAGCGTGATGCTACTGCCGCCATGCCTGACAGTTGCTACGGTGTTCTTAGGTTTCCCTCAACTTGACTCCTCCAAACATGAGTCTTGTTAATATAGCCAAAGAGCTCAATCTTCATCATGTCCGGGCACAAGACCTTTCTCAAGAAGCCTTCGGCTTGTCCAAATGGGAAGCTGCAAAATTGAGTGGAGCTTTCTGTGGAGAGGGTGAAGCCCCTCCACAGCAAAGACAGACACTGGTGTTCTAGCAGTTTCCAGGTCATGAGGCTTGAGCCCTGCTGGTTTCTGGACTGTTTCCTCTCGTTTGTGGGAGACAGATTGGTCTTCTTGTAGATGTAGACTGTGACTAGAGCAGGGCGATATGACCAAAAATATTTATCACGATATACATTTGAAAATTTGCGATAACGATATAACTGACGATATAATTGAGACGAGACAAAATACTTTACAACTCCTCAACTTTATTAGTGCAAAAACCATCAATGTATTTTCACTTAAACAAGCAGCTGTTTTTTATCTGCATTAAAGTTGTATAAAAATGTAACAGTGCAAATTCCTCGCTGACAGTTTAACCAAAAGGTATTTCCAGTGGAAACTGGCCGACACATCCTCAGCACAACCATGTATAACATCCACAACACTTAAAAAGAGGTTATACACACACAATACGGTAACATTATGCTGAAGCACAGCACGTATCACTCCGCGAGGCTCCGCCTACGATAGCCGTAACGCTCCGACACTCCATCAAGCGGTGCGGCTTCGTAGCTCAGCAAAGTCGTACTGAAACATTTGACAGATTTTCGAGCGCCGTGCACATAAAATGGTTTCGAGGTCAGTAAACACAACCAGAGTTCATACATAAGGCACACGGGATTATAAGGGGCTCTGTCGACTTTCAGAAAAATCAAAGGATTGATTTTAAGTGTGCCGTATTTTCCAAACAACACGGTAATAACGACGGCCCGCTAGCATGCGCTACCAAAAATAGTGCTTTGTTGTGTATCTGACGGACGAAAGCTAAACCAGTTCCACACCAGTGAAGCTGCAGCATTTTTACAAACCAGTTCAGGTTCATGGTTTCATTCAACGATCCACTTTCGCTCTTCTCATTCTGCGTCGCCGCCATGCTCTTTCCGCCATGTGCGTATGAAAACAAAGGCACTGCGCATGCGCGTTTTACCCATATTCTATCGCCATGTTTCATTTTCCTATCGTTGCCCAACATTGCACCGGTATTACCGTGAACGGTACGATATAGCCCAGCCCTAGTGGTGACATATCTGAGTAACTTGTACTTGGGCACAACTGTTTGTACTGATGGTCTGGCCTCATGCAATCCTGTGTTTCACATCTATGAGAACAATGTGTCCAAATTGGAATTAGAAACAAGTGTTCATGCCTTTGTTTCCTCACAGTCTGACTGGTGTACATCACTGTAAATGACTTATTTGGCAGATGTGGTGCTTTATTTGCAGTTGCTGTTTTGACAGAAGAGATACAGCACCTGTGCAAGTATCAGAACAGGGCTTTAAAATCTGTTCAGAGCTAAAATGAAAATCATCTTAGTGTTCTCTCTGCTCATCTCACAGTTTTGTTTGTTTCTGAAATCAGCTGAGTAACAAAGGTGTAAACAACAACCAGTCAAATGGGAAAAGCTGTGTTAGCAAATCGTGTCAGAGCTGTAGAGGCTGTGCGAGTGGAGCAGAGACGGCAGAGTAACAAAGGCCATGTTTGTGTTCTCAGAGAGAGGTGGAGATCCTCATGTTCCTCAGTGCCATCGTGATGATGAAGAACCGCCGGGCGAGTGAGTAAATGTCTTTTTCATAGTGTGGATGAGTTGTGTGCTATCCAGCGCTCTGTGATGTTCTCTGTCAGGAGGCTTTTAAATTGGCTGTTCAGTGAATTCCTCCAGATTCAGCCCATTACAGAGCTCTGTTTCACATTTAGTAGTGAATTTGAAAGATGTTGCATCACCGCGTTCATCAGGGCTGTGCGATATGACCACAATCTCATATCCCATCGCCCCGATAACGATATAAATCACAAACATTTAACATTTTCTGTAAGTTCTGTGAATCTCGGGCAGCTTGACTTGCAGGAAGTGTTTCCAGCTGGGCGTCCTGTAGCTGGAGTCGAGTGTTTTAATCGATGCATGAAACGATACATTTTTAGTCATAAGTTGTAACGGCGCCATTTTCTTTGTATTTATTACACGGCGTGCTGCGGGGAAAAGCCTAGGGCTGTTCGATGTAACGATATATATCGGATGACGATATAAAAACATCTGTCGTTTCATTTTACGCTGTCATTTGTTTCATGCTGTTGCAAAATAAACTGTTTACAGCAATATTTGTTCATGGCTCTGATGTCCCTGTAGTTATTATTCATTTCTTCAAGTTCTCTCTTTCTCTTATATTTAATATAACCACACTACGGACAGACAAGCGCCTGTTTTTATGCGTTGTCGTTAGCAACAACGACGGTAACAGCATCGTGTGTCCGCTTGTTTATGTTCCACATAAACCTTTCACAATAAAGCTCAAGATCCTGTTGAGACTTTTCAAAATAAACTGAATGACGTGAAACAGTATGCAGAGTGTTTACGGATGAGAAGCAAAAAGAGCCGCCAGGTGCTAAAAAATAAACCTTAGACTCAAACGTTTTATATCGTCATCCGATATATATCGTTATATCGAACAGCCCAAGTGTTCATCATTGATTAGGGCTGTTTATTATCTGCTGCTAATCTGTTTTAAAGCATTGACTAAAACATGAAAGTGTCTCTGTGTTGTTTGTGTCAGTAACTGTGGAGCAACATGTGGGCAACATCATCCTGTTCAGCAAAGTGGCCAATGTGATCCTGTTCTTCAGACTGGACATCAGGATGGGGCTGCTCTACCTGACGCTCTGCATAGGTCTGTCAGCTCATTGTTTAGACAGTAGCACCTCACAGAAACTGTCTGGTCCCACAGGATCACTGAGACTGTTGGTGGGGAGAACTCCACGTTAACAGGAAGAACAGGGCCAAACAAACTACAGGAGAGAGAAGGCTAAAGACCAGTTGTTCATCCCGCAAAGGAGTTTGTTACCGCAGTAGGATAAAAAAAACAGTACAAGTGCCACGGGCCTTAGAGAGTGCAAACATGTATATATGCAACAGTAAGCAAGCAATTTCTTTATATAGCACTTTCAGAACAACTCCCCAGCTGAACACTAAGTGCTGTACACCTGACATGCCAGAAATGATATTTTCAGTAAGTTAAAAAATATATATATAAAAGGATAAAAATATAAAAATAAGATGATAATTAAAATGATATTTAAATGAATAAAATTAGCACAAATAGCAAAAAGTAAAATAATATAAAATGAGAATTAGAATTACATTTAAAACAATAAAATCATTTTTACTCCTTGTCATGAGCCAAGGAGTAAAAATGGGTTTTAAGACACGTTTTAAAAGTGGACAGTGAAGGGGCCTCTCTAATGTGCTGCAGAGAATGCCCCGCCCCCTCTGAGCTTCCTCTTGGACCTGGGTACCTCCAGGAGCAGCTTGTCAGCTGACCTGAGAAACCTGGGGGGGAGTAAGGATGCAGAAGCTCAGAGAGGTAAGGTGGGGCAAGACCGTTTAACCATTTGAAAACAGAGTTTTAAAATGAACTCTAAGATATACAGGCAGCCAATGGAGTGAGGCGAGGATGGGAGTCATGTGCTCTCTTTTACCAGTTCAGCTGCAGATGAGAGAGAAGACGCCGACTAACTCCACAATACAGCACATTACAGTAATGCAAACGAGATGAAGTAAAAGCACGCATTACTGTTTCAAAATGCGGCCTGGATAAAATAGTCTTACCTTTGCCAAACACCTTAAATGATAAAAACTGGACTTGACAGGTTTAAAGTACTCTGCCAGGGGTCAATAGTGGAGGGTTCACAAGGTCCACTGGGATCAAACACAATCACCTCTCTTTTGCTTGAATTACATCTTAGAAAGTTTAGGAACATCCAAGATTTGATAAAGTGGTTTAATAGAGAAGGCATCGTTCTGCTTCAGAGGCAGATAAATCTGACAGTCGTCAGCATAGCAGTGGAAGGATAATCCGTGCCTTCTGAGGATGGTTCCCAGGGGCTGTAAATATAATGAAAAAAGCAGAGGCCCTAAAATTGAGCCCTGTGGGACCCCAAGCTGAAGAGCGGCAGAGAAGGACTCAACCTTAAAAAGTTAACACTAAAAGTTCTGTCACAAAGATAGATGTCATTTCAAGGCAGTACCACGAATGCCTGCAAGATGGTGAAGCGAGACAGCAAAATGTTGTGGTCTACAGTGTCAAAGGCAGCTGTTAGGTCAAGGAGGACAAGAACAACATGATTACCAGAGGATATCAGTAAAAACCTTTAAGAGTGCTGACTCCGTGCTATGAAAGTTTTTAAAACCTGACTGGAAGACTAAGAAACCGTTCTCATTTAAAAATCCATCAGTTGGCAGTGTACAATTTTCTCTAAGATTTTAGACATAAAAGACAACTTGGAGAGAGGCCTGAAGTTAGCCAACACAGTGTGGTCCAGGGCAGCTTTCTTAAGCAGGGGTTGTACTGATGCATGCTTGAAATGAGCAGGGACTACACCACATCTGCTGTATATAACAGTGAGAACAGCCTGGCCTATGCTAGGAAACATCTCCTGAAAAAGCTGTGGTGGGACAGGATCATTTGGAGAACCGGAGGGCCTCAGGTGGCCGACCACATCCTCCAAAGAAGAAAGAGTCACAGGCTCAAACTGGTTAAAACAGCAGAGCAAGGGATCGAGACAGAGGGGTCGGAGTTTGAACGTCATCTACTTGTCCAGTTGTCCATTCTAAGATTGTGATGAATTAACGGATCAAAGGCCTTTAGAGTTGTCATGAGTTGATGTTTAGTGTGCTACGATCAGTCATAGAAATCTGAAACGAGAAGCTGGAAGTGAGTTACACTGAAAACTGGAGATATAAGAAAATAAGGTGTGTTTCATTGGATGCTTAGTGGGCTGACGTTCCCTCAGACAAGGGAAATAATATGTTAACATACAAAGACACAGTAAGTTCACTAATATGTGAGATCCTGCTGAGAGCAGTTCACTGGAGTCAGCTGAAAAAGCAGCAGACTGAGTGTGAGATGCTGTGATCTTCTGTGTGTTTCAGTGTTTTTGATGACCTGTAAGCCTCCTCTGTACATGGGACCCGAGTACATCAAATACTTCAGTGACAAAACTATTGATGTGAGTACAAGTGGAAGAGTTGGTGGTAGAGGTTTGGTTGTTGGTGAAACACACTTACGTCCAGTTGTTTTAAAGTGTGTGTTTACCGTGTGTGCGCAGGATGAACTGGCGAGAGACGGCCGTGTGACGTGGATCGTCGAGTTTTTTGCCAACTGGTCTCCAGAGTGCCAGTCCTTCGCTTCTGTGTACGCTGATCTCTCTCTCAAGTAAGGCTGAGACCGTCCTCTGGTGAAATCGTGGCGTGTCTTCATCTGCGTTCAGGAGTAACTTCAGTGCCTTCTGTTCTGTGGAATAGGTATAACTGTGCTGGCCTAAAGTTTGGCAAAGTGGACATTGGACGCTATGGAGAGGTTTCCAAAAAGTAAGACCCTTTTAAATCAGTTTTCTCGGTGACGTTTGGCTCCCCACATACATATGAGCACTCCCTGTTCTGCAGGTACAAGGTGTCAGCATCTCCACTCTCCAAGCAGCTTCCATCATTGGTGCTGTTCCAAGGAGGGAAGGAAGTTATGCGGCGCCCTCAGGTGGACAAGAAGGGCAGGGCTGTGTCATGGAGCTTCACTGAGGTGAGACTGCTGCTGCTGGTGTGCTAAAGGTGAACACCTGTAATATCAAAGATGTTCTTTTTCTCAGTAACACCTGGACTTGGTCGCATGGCACTGTGGCCTCCTGTTTGTCCGTTAAAACGTGGTCAGTGGAGCGAACGACATAATCTAAAAAAGAGAAAACAAGTTCGCAGTGCGTCGTCTGACCCTGGGGTCACCGTTTGTTCCATCAGTGTGCGATTGTTACACAGAATCCTATTTACATTTACTCCAATTATAGAAAATAAGGAAATATCTGAAATGCTGAAGGTAAGCGGTGTTAATCAGAACATTTATGTTTTACAAATATTTACATCTGTGCATGAGAAAGTAACTTTGTATCTTCTTCTTTGCAGGGTTGACATGGGATAAGAAACATGTTTCTTTAAAAACTTCAGACTGAAATTAAAAATTGAGTTGTTGTAATTATCTTCAATAAGTGACAGAAGCCCAATATTAACACAGTCCTCTGTGAGTAAGCACCTGGCCACAGTGGAGAGGAAAAACTCCCCTTTAACAGGAAGATCCCTTCATTCTAACCAGGGTCAGGCTTGACTGGTTGGGCTGAGGGGAAAGGCAGAGCTTAGGCAGAGCTGTGAGCTCCAGAAACTTGCACACCAGTTATAGTGTCAGCTGTTCCCCTCCTGATCCATATACTTGACACTTAGAGTCTTTATATTTAAGACTTTGCATGCTTGTTTCCATCAGGAGAACATCATCCGAGAGTTCAACCTGAACGAACTCTACCAGAAGTCCAAGAAGCTCAGCAAGACCAGAGGAGACAAGGTCAGCCAATCCCAGTTCCCCCAGTGCCCGAGGAGGAGGAGCCAGAGCAGCAGGGAGTTGAAGCCCAGGGGGTGGAGTCTGAATCCAAGAAGGACAAATAGGACCATTTGTATTACTCACACTGGACTTGTTAATGGAATCTGTGGGTCCACTGTGGGTCAGCTAGCTCCTCCTCCACCTTTGTCTTCATGCTCCTCTTCAGAGTGTTCTGTTTACTTGTGAATCAGGCCCCGCCCCTTTCCCTGAATGTCCCTAATATGTAATTTAGCAGAGTATCAAAGCAAACTGCAGTAAACCATCCCAGTTGTGTGAAGAGGACCTGAGGTCACTCTTTGGTGGAGGAGTTTGGCTGGTGGGGGCTAATGATGGAGACGTCCAACACAGGAGCAGAACATGTTTTATGCTACTAATGACTTATTTTAATCTTTAATAATTTAAATGCAGTTAGTTAGTTACTGATGTGGACCATTTAGCAGCTTCGTCACACACATTCCATCAGCTTCTGTCGTGTTTTCTTCTTTGAGTGTTTTTACCTGCTGACCGTGACTGTGTGCAGCTCCCAGTCAGCTGTTTCTTTCTTTGGACACACCTTACAGGCCCTGACTGGCAGCACTTAGTAGTCAGGTTGATTTAAAGTAGCGGTGATTCAGTGATCCTACGCTTCCCCCCAGTTTCTCACCTGGTCTCCAGTCTGCTGTGTATGACCCGTGTTCTGCAGTTGCCTTTAACAGATGGTGTAAAACACGTTCAGGTGTAACTCCCTACCTGACGAGCCCACCTTTGTTTTTAGTTTGACTTCATAAAACTCTAAATGCAAAGGACTTTTTTCTTAAACTTGACTACATGCATGTGCAAGTTTACATTTTAATCTAATAGACTAAATAATACATCAAATAATTGCTGGCTTGGGATCAGTGAAGCAGTTCCAGGCTTCTCGGCTGTGCTTGGTTCCTGCTCGTGCAGAAACCTGAAAATGAGGCATTGAATCTGTGTGAACTGCAGTAACCCCCTAAGAACCATGCAGCAGTGTGGCAGCACTGTTTGCTGCTCCAACGCCAGGACACGGGGCGGTGCACACGAACACAGCTCACTGCAGATGCTGACCTGAGCAGTGAGCTGCTGTAGACTATAAGTAGCTGATGATTCAACCACTGCAAAGAAAGTAGCAGTGAGTCAGGCCGAAGTTTGGGGTTCGTTCAACAGGAGTTTCATTTCTTTCTTCCTTCTTCATTGTGGTTTGTGTGTAGTTGCCATTGAATGTAGGTTTCTAAACCCTGCTGTGTTTTATCCACCCATCATTTTGCTTTCAAACAGAGAAGGCTTCGGTTTCTGCCTTAACGTGTAATTGATGACTTAAACATTCTGATAAATGATAAAGAGCCATGTGATACATTTTCTTTTCTAAAAAAAAAGTATATCTAATAACAACAATCCAATAATTGGGATGCTCCATGGAGGGGGAGTCACTGTTTGGTCAGTCTCATCCATGAGGAAACTGGATTATATCCATCTTGTCCACAAACTTCATATCTACAGGTCCCAGCCGGGGTGTTGAGCCCGGGTTGAGAAACTGCACACAGTGACTAACAGAGTGTGTATGATGGAAACACAGCTGGTGGATCCAGGAGCCTCTGCACTCCTCACCCAGATGATGGCAGATGTGTCCTGCACATTGATTGGCTGACCCCTGGACTCCATGGAGAAAACGAGCGTGTTTCCACAGCCTGAGGATCATCTGGGTCACTGGCATCGCTGCATTCATGTCTTTGTTACAAACCTTTTGAATATTGATGATCAGAACTGTTATTTGTTACATAGTGAACCAATTTTCTGACACGTTTTTCCTTTTTTACATTCAGTAAGCACACTGTAGTTTTACAGATGTTTGTTCCTGATTTAACCTGTTGTTACAAAACCGGTTTGGTTTATTATTCATGTTGACCATGTCTAACCTCTGTGGCGTGTTACATTTCATTCAGAAAAGTCTGGCCTGTTTGCTGTTCATGCAGTAAAGACAACATGAAGCGCTGTGATGCTGTCGTCCTCCTTCCTTTTAGCTCAGACTTTGGTCACCACCTCACAGTGACATGTGACGACTCTGTGCCAGGGTCTTTGTGTAGCCCAATTATCTGCAGATGTTTCATCTG